GTGTGTTTGTGTGCGTGTTTATGGGTGTGTGTGTGTGTGTGTGTGTGCGGGTGGGTGTGTGTGTGTGTGTGTGTCAGTGTGGGTAGGTGTACCTGTGTGCCTTGCCATGGTGTGTGTTTCTGTGTGCGGCCGTTGCGCGTTGTGCTGTCTCGTTGTCTTTGTGTCTGTCTCGTTGTGTGCGTGGGCGTGTGTGCGTGCGGTCGGGCGCGCGTATGTGAGTATGCGCGGGTATAACGTAAACATTTACATTTGAAATTTGTTTTAAAATCGCGTTTATCTATCGTATCTATTCTATCTATCTATCTATCTATCTATCATCTATCTATCTATCTAATCTATCTATCAAGTATCCTATCTATCTATCTATCTATCTATCGATCGACCTATTTCTATTCTATCTATCATATCTAGTCTATGTATCTATCTACTATCTATCTATCTTCATCTATCTATGTTAGTCTATCTATCTATTTGTTTATTCTATCTATCTATCTATCTATCTTATCTATCGTATCATCTATCTACTATCTATCTATCCTATCTATTATTTATACTATCTATCATTCTATCTATTTTCTAATCTATCTTATCTAACTATCGTTAGTCTAATCTATCTATCTATGTCTATCTATCTATCTATCCATATCTATTATCTATTTATTTATCTATCTATCTAGTTCTATCTATTCTAGCTATCATCTAGTCTTCTATCTATCTATCTATCTATCCTATCTATACTATCGATATCTATCTATCTATCTATCCATATTGTATCTATCTATTTATCTATGTATCTATCTATCGTACCTAATCTATCTATCGATCTATCTATTTATCTATCTACTCTATCATATCCGTATCTAATCTATCTATCTATTTATCTATCCTATCCATATCTATCTATCTTTTTGTAGGATTATTAGTCTATCTAGCTATCTATCTATCTATCTTGTTATAGCTATCCGATCGATCTATGCTCGCCACACACACACACACACACACACACAGAACACACACACACACGCCACGCACGCACGCACGCACACACACACGCACACACACAACCGACGTGCCATTGTATCTCCTGCAGATTTTCACGATGCGAACTGTGATACTACTCGCTTGCGTCGCGAGCGTCTTCTGTAGCAGAAATGACGCGTACGGCGCCGCGCGACGTCCGGTAGGGGGCGTGAGCTACGAAGCGTCGCAGACGTACAGCCGGCGGCCGTCGACACGCAGAGTGGTCGTAGCTTACGCGGCGCCGACGCACGTCCGGTACGCATCCGCAAACGACCGAGCTGTCGGCGACGGCTACGGAAAGACGGAATCCGGATACGGAGGAAGCAGATACGGATCCGGAACGAGTGGCTACGGTCTCGGCAGCAACAGTCGCCGATCTGGAATCGGATTGCGAGCGTACGGTCTCGGTGGGAACAGCTACGGGTCCGGATCGAGCGGCAACAGTCACAACAGCTTCAGTTACGGATCCGTACCGATCGGCAACGCGCGCGGCAGTAGCAGCAGTTACGGATCCGGATCGAGTGGTTACGGCCTCGGCCGCAGCAGCAGTTACGGATCCGTACCGATCGGCAACGCGCACGGCAGCAGCAGCAGTTACGGATCCGGATCGAGTGGTTACGGCTTCGGCAGCAGCAGCAGTTACGGATCCGGATCGAGTGGTTACGGCCTCGGCCGCAGCAGCAGTTACGGATCCGTACCGGCAACGCGCGCGGCAGCAGCAGCAGTTACGGATCCGGATCGAGTGGTTACGGCCTCGGCCGCAGCAGCAGTTACGGATCCGGAAAGAGTGGTTACGGCCGCGGCAGCAGCAGCAGTTACGGATCCGGATTGAGTGGTTACGGCCTCGGCCGCAGCAGCAGTTACGGATCCGTACCGATCGACAACGCGCGCGGCAGCAGCAGCAGTTACGGATCCGGATCGAGTGGTTACGGCCGCGGCAGCAGCAGCAGTTACGGATCCGGATCGAGCGGACTGCCGGACGCGTCCTTCCTGCGCGGCTGGGGCCGACTCGACGACGTCCAGTTCGACGACACCGGATTCGGACACGAGTACGTCGACGTCGCCAGCTTCAGCTACGACGCGGCGCGCGACGCGGCCGCCGCCGGCGCCCCGCGCGGCTCCGCCCCTCCCTCCGTGCAGGCGGTCGTCGGGGAGCGCTACCGGTCGGGATACGCTCACCAGACGGACTCCTCTCACGCTCTCCGCACCGGCTCCGGCGTCGGCGAGGCGGGGGTGCAGCTCGAAGCTTCCCGCAGCGCCCAACAGGTGGCGCGCGAGCAGTTCGCGCAGGATGCGTCGGGAGAGGGCGCCACGCGGCAGGCGGGTGCGTACGCGTTCCGGCGTGGTGACAGCGGCGGGATCATGTACGAGCCGGTGAACACGCAGACGGTGAAGGTACGCGCCGGTGCTGCCGCCCCGCGGCTCGCTGCAGTTGCCAGGGGATACGGTAGCGTTGGTTACGGAGGCAGCAGCAGCGGTGGAGCGTCGCACGGATGGTTATAAGCTGGCTAGGCTGATGACGTTGTTGTTGTTGTTGTTGTTGTTGTTGTTGTTGTTGTTGTCGTTGTTGTCGTTGTTGTTGATGATGATGACAATAATAATGTTGTTGGTGATGATAGTGCCGTCGTCGTTGTTGTTGTTGTTGCTACTGCTGCTGGTGTTGATGCTGCTGCTGCTGCTGGTGTTGATGCTGCTGCTGCTGGTGTTGATGCTGCTGCTGCTGGTGTTGATGCTGCTGCTGCT